GCCTACCTGCAGAGCAGCACATGCTATTTTTTATGCAAAGTACTTTGTGCAAAGAAAGCGAAACCGCGGTGAATCCTGTGGAGATAATGCAGTTTGGTCTTAAACACTAACGATCTAAGTAAATTGATGTCAGAATAGATTTTATTTTTCTCTTGTTAACGTAAAGTTGTGCAAACGTAAGATAGCGGGGACAAGATAAGAGCGAGTTTAGCTTGGGCCCTGAACCCATAGCTAACCTAATTGACAAGCGGTGCCTGCACGCTTCACATCATCGATCAACTTGACCACCTCACAATCGGCTTACGAAATCCACATTCGTCTAGATAAAGATAGATAGATAGAAGCTGGCCAGAATATTATCCTAACAGTAGCGGCTAATGCAGTATACATACTTAAATTTGAAAGTTAGGAATTTTGTTTTAAATTAAAGAGTATGTCTAGTTTACAGAGCATCAAATCAATCAAAATATTTAGTCTATATTCCTATAACTGATTTAGTTAAAAGACATGTTATTAGTGGAAATTTCATCCTCGATACGATTGTTCTAATAACTCGGATCTGTAGTTACTCGTACAAACATAACGTTAGTATTGTATCATAAAAAATATAAAACAGAGAGTTTTAATTAAACAAAACCCCAAGATTTGTTAAGATTTAAAGAATAGGCTTGTAACGTATAAATAAATAATGACTTGTTACTGTGGCTCGCACCCGCGCCTGCACTTGCACCTCGGAACTGGTCTAGCGTGTGTCAATTTTTCATTAAGCACATTAGAGTCTCAGGAGCCATTTCTCTATCATACTTGATTAGCAGCACCGGCCTATCGTAATTACTGAGGTAAGAAACCATTGGATTTACGAGCCATGACCACGACTTAGTTCAGGGTGTAAATATTTAGCAAATGAATTTGTACCTTTACGATTTTAAAGATAATATTTGGTTATTTTTCAAGTTTGTAATACCACAGACAACATAATATTACATAGTAATACCATCATGTCTCTAATAGAAGGGAAATATAATAATAATGGTATATCCGAATGAAATATAATTTCAAAGAGGCATTTCCTCTACAGCATTCAAAAAAGCTTTATTTGCAGATAATTGAATCTTGAATCTATCTTATTAGCACATAGCTGCAGTAGATGACATGTCTGGCCGATAGTCGCGACATGGACAGTAGAACAATCGGCGGTCGGCGCCCGCGCGATTTGATCAACCTAGTGTCGTAAGTAATAAGATAGCGCGTTTACCAGAAATCCAAATTATAGTTTGCCGTCGCAATATAATAACTACGGAATGTTAATAGACTTTGTTAATCTTAGCAGGCAAAATAGCTTTATGGTAATTTTTAAATTCGAAGAAAAAATTTTGAAGAGTAATTACGTTTTTAAATGAATTTTTTGCAGCCATTAATTTCATATCATCTTTCAATCAGTTATATTGTAATATCTTATCTGTGGTTATATGTATTCTTGGCACAAAGTACAAAATTAACTGCATAGAGCATACTTCTATTGATGTTTATTGAATTGAAAAATATCGTTCGTGTTTTCCGAATTTTTAGATTCATGACGTAGTAAATATACACAAACAAGAATGATATGGTCTTGTCGTGTATTTATCGTGTCTAAGTCCAATAAAGTACAAGATCGGTTATTGTTAAAAACAACCATATGTGATTTATTCATATTGGGTTAAATATGTAAGAAATGACGTAAAAATATACTTTTTCCGTAAATTGGACCACCGCCTGGCTACAGTATTGCTTACAATCGTTTTCTTCACGCAATGCTTCGACGCCCGATATTACGTATACTTACATCATTATTTCTCGTTAAGGGCAGGAAATATAATTAAGAGATGGCATTATCTTGTTTTCTTCTCAGGTGTATAGATTATAGTAGTCTCAGCATCACGTTTAACTGTAATTATATTTCTTACTGCATTAAACGAGATATCTGTATCATGAGACGTTCGTATTTCATTTATTTATCCATACAATAATGCAGTAATATTCTGGATAATAATAACTTATGTAAGAGTACTGGAAATATTTTTTAATCTTCACTCTGTCATATCATGAAGCATTTAATAAATAATATCTAACGGACGAATTTTACTCGATAGATTTTTTTTATACTACGATGGTGGCAATCCAGCATACGGCCTATCTGATGGTAAATGGTTACCGTAGCCTATGAACGCCTGAAACACCAGGGGTATCACGTGCGCGTAAGAAGAAGAAACCTTAATATACCCTTCTTGAAAAACCCCATGCTGTAGTCTCGTGGAAAAATCTCGGCAGGAAGTTCATTCAGCAATCTAAGTGTACGCGGAAGGAAGCTCCTCTGAAACCGCACCACTTAGGTTCCAGCGTGTGGGGATGAATTCACTGTTAACGGCTAGCGGTGCGCAGCGGTGTGGTATATCTCTACAGAGATATATTTAATGTATACACAAAAATAAAATTGGAGTGTCTGTTTGTAGTATTGAAATAACCGGTTTTTACTACATACATATGAATATAAATACGGTACATACATCAAAATAACATTTTTTACAATTTATTTCTGTCTGTCTGTCTGTTTGTTTCGGCTAATCTTTGAAATGGCTGGACCGATTTTGACGGATTTTTTTTGGCAGGTAGTTAATGTAATAAGAAGTAATTTAGGCTAAAATAAAGTTAATTTCCACGCGAACGAAGTCGCGAGTACAGCTAGTATTATAAACCAAAAATTTAATCTTTTTTATGCATTTGATATCATCTGGCAGATATTCTAAAGCTGCCCATATATTTCGAGGTTTTAATCCCGTGTCGCTATATATACATATGATTATTTTTTGTATTCATACAGTTGAGGTCGCATTATGAAGTGTTTTATCATATTGTTTGATATTACGACTAAAAGAATTTATTCGTAAGAAAGTATATATGTGTAAAAAGCTTTTGAAAGTTATGCAATGAGTTGGTTATGCGATGCAGGTAGGTGCTATATTATATACATCGTCTACACAATTTACGAAAAATTAAATGGCTTACATTTAATTTTTAAGCGTTAAGCCTACATGAAAGCTAATACGGAGCATATTATATTGGAGCCAGAAGTGAAATAGAGGAAGCACTGGTTTACAATTAAACACTACCTATTGCCTGTTAATTTGTTATGTTACAAACCACCAACGAATCAGAAAAACCTCCTGGCTGGCTTATGTATTAAAAAGGCCAGTAAAGAAATGATGAAGTACATATATAGAAAACTAATTATTAATTTATTTATTTAAGTAATTTATGAATCAAATAAATAAACAGTTAACTTTTTGTATGTACAGGGAATTAGTAATGCGATACTTAATTAATGAAACAATTATAATAGATGGCCTCAGTGGTATAGCGGTTTAGCACACTAGCTTTACTTCTGATGGTCGCGGGTTCGATCTGGGTGTGTTCTATGTATACTATGTATGTATTTCCAAAAGTAATATCTAAGTATTTATATCAGTTGTTTGGTACCCATAACACAAGCTCTGCTTGCTATGGGACTAGATGGCGTTGTGTTAATTGTCCAGGGTTATTTATTTGTTTAATACAACAAAAACTACAAGATTTTTATTAAAATATTTGGTTTGCGAATTTAATGGTACGACATTAGTTGTTAGTATTGGATCAGCAATCGACAGATACTGCCTGTAAACACGTCGTCTGTATCGCAACAATCTATTTATAATCACTGGCCAGCGAGACCACTGTGTGTTAAATGTCTGATATTTACGATTACAGCAGGAGACGCCGGCTCTAGTGCTGCCTTAGTCGATTTCAATAGCAATATTTATATCGACACTTCACTTTACATTGTTCTGCAGTTTGGTTTACAAATATATATAATAATTTAAACTAGGTTTCGCTGATATAAGTGGTACATGATAATAGAAATACATAAGTTAATAGGTCGGTTTGAATAGGAATTTTATTTGTTGACGACGCATCGTTGCGAAATCCTTTATAATATATCTTTCTATAGTGTTTTATAATAAAAATTCTACTATTGTAGGTTGTAAAATTCGCTTTCTACTCGCTCTCTCTATTACAGAACCATTATAGCGGTACGCTAAATATATGCTTAATGAATTAGTAGGGTTTCTTAAACAATGGCGTGTCATTTATGTCATCAAAAGTACTTAGTTATTTGTAAACATAATATAACTTAAAGAAAAAATACATACTTGTCGAAAGCTTTTAATTTAATCATATAATAAAGAGTACATGTTATGGATATTTTTACAGTTTTACTTTATCGATAAGATTGTAAGGCAAGTCACTAATCTGAGAACGATTAGCGGGCCCGCGGTTGTGTCGGCGCGCGCGCACGTGCGCAGCCTCGCCGCCCGCCACCGGTGAGTAAGCTCCTAGTTACACTTCACAAACGTAAATTTGTTAGTCCAAATGTCTTTTCACATTTAAAGAAACACTTATTACAACCAGTCAAAGTCTATAACAGATTTATACAAGTAATACTAAATGTACTGAGAGATTTGTCGCAAACACACCTTAGCTCAACTATCTCTTAGACTGTCACGCAAACAAAATTGAAGCAAACAGTCTGTTCGAAAATCTTAAAACAGACTTTTTATATTGTTTGATCCTAAGTTGATTATTGGTTAGTACACACGAAAAACAATAAAAAAATGAAAATTTTTGGTGCAGTGGCTAGAATGTTACTATATGTAGGTAAATGAGGTTCTAGGTTCATTTTACTACCGAACCAACTTATGGAATGAATTTTTATACCTAGTCTGCGAATTCTTGGATAAGTCTGTACATTTTTGTTGTTTTGTTTATCAAACAGCGCAGATTTTGAAAAAAAAAACAGGAATATATACCTCCTCCGAACAACACATGGCTATAATTTAAAAAGATTAATTGTGCGAAATATAATAATAATAAATGTCAAGTAAGTGTAAATAAATAAAATAAAATATACAGCGCTAATTAAACAACCAAATCATTCATATTGTGTGGCCCTAAATAGATTAATTCTCAAAATTCAAGTTTAGCTATATATGTATAGTAATGAAACTATTATAATTAAATATATATATATATGTACCTATGTACATCTTATTACTATATCTGTAACTACTGTGATGTCAAGAAAGTATTTTTATTTACAGGCAGGTGCAAGTGTGTGCTGAAACATCAGTATGGGATTGTATATTTTTTTGTCGATCGCAACCCTAATGCCGGCTGTTCGGAACCGTTACAGTTCATAGTGTTCACAATATATCTATGGTTCGAAGAAAAAAAGCGTGTTACATGCTTACAGTAACGCGCAATGTTGTGGCGATGCTCACCTGCGCGCGCACGTGCACATCTGTGTAGACGGACTATGACGTCACTCTTACTGTAGACTCCATATTGTATCATTGGGTCCTTTGAGATGGAAAGGTATATATGACCAGGGATTTATTATTGTTAACATAACCAATAGGTGTGTTCTAATAATGTTCAAGAAATATATATTTTTGATATATTTTGTTTTACAGGGGAGTAATTACTAAATTAATTTCAATTTCACGATTTCAGGTGTCTATTTAAACTAATTTCTGAAGTTGCCATTTGTGACGGAAAGTAACAATGGTTATATAATGTAAAAGATTTAGAAAGGAAATTTGCCAAACTATAGATACATTTTGGTAGTTGTGACATGTAGAGATTTAAGATACATACTATTTTATGGAAAATTCAATTAACCATGGTTAGTAATATTATTTCGCTACATGTATGTTAAAATGGGTACAGAAAGAACAATTAAAGTGTTGTTTGTGGGAGATAACATTGTAGATTAGTGTTCGGTGTTGTATTACCGGTGATTGGTAGCGCGGGCGGCGCCGGCGGTGTACAGCATTAGTAACGCTCATCACATCACTGTTCCCGACCACCCCTTCGTTGATGCGTGGCGGTTTCAATTAATTTTCATTAACCAATACCCATTTATATCTACTAATGAGTTTAAGATGATTCTACGCTATTTTATTAAGTTATTGTGGCCAGGCTGTGCGATTATATATTGATGTTTAATTTAAAATGAGTATTATTTTTTTATTATAACATAGTTGTAATAAGTAAAGGAGAAATCGTCGAGACTAAGTAGTTTGCTACACCGATTCAAACCTTAAGGTTGTAAGTTCAAATCTGGTCGCCACAAAATATGTTTGTATGGAAATTTATATTACAAATAATCTTTATGGAAAATAGATATAAAAGCATATTAGTATGAAAAACGGTGGTAGGCTCGCTTAAATGTAACGTCAACAATGTCTCTTACTACCCCATCTGTGATAACAGTTTGTGAAGAAATAGTTGCAATATAACTCTTCGGTTTCGTTGGCTGTTACACTTTACAATTGATTTATTTATAGGAACTCATTATGACTTGTGGGACATTATTGTGCAAGTTCTTTGTTGGTTTGATACATAAATGATTTGAAGCCATTTACACACTTATTACGGGTTTATATTGTATAAGTCGTTTAATGTAAGCGTAACCTATTATTACATTTTTGATCCCCGCATTAGGGAACAATTGAAAATTTGAATAATAAATAAATAAAAATGTTCTCATGAGCTCGGAATTGCTTCATTTTACGTTCACAGGGGAGGGCGATTAAAAACTATCGATAATAAAGGTAAGCGGGGATCAATTCTAATTGTACCTACTTATTATTAAGATTATACATATTAATGTATTTCACAATACATTATGGTTCATGGCTGCTCAAAATAAATATACATTAGGATTTTTAACACACTAATTTACAAAAATATTGTAATATACTACAAAAATACCTCACTGATCTAAATGCAAATGTCCACGGCTCGGCTCTTTGTCAATTAGATAAGAGGGCGGACAGTGCAACGGTAAATAAAAGATAGAAAGTGGCTTTATTTCAGGACACGATAGATCTGAGAACTGGTGCTTAGTTGTGTTTGGCCACTGTTATTATTATCTTAAGTCTAATTAATTATATATGCATTATGTATGGAAGTTAACCCTAACTCATTAAACATAGTTTATACCTACTTCAGAAACCTGGGACTTCATAAATAACTGTTTAAAATATGTGAAAAATAAAGAATAGGTATATATTTATAGTAACCAAGGCAATTTCTGGGATGTTATACAAGAACAAAATTCTTGTATAACATCCCAGAAATTGCCTTGATTACTATAAAATAAATCTCAAGCAACAAATATTAACTTAGCTGTCTACTATCTGTTCAGATGGTACTAACATTGTAATTTAAGTTTTCCCAAAAAAATCAACATTGTAATTTAATGAATAAATTGATGATATTTTAATTTATTTATTTGCCTAAGTATCATACAACACTATTATCCAATTATCCAATAGGTACCTATATAATAATTAATATTTGTAATAAGAATTAGATAAATTTCTTATTGTATTAAAGATGAATGTAATAGTGGAATCTAATATCACGAACAATTTATGTACAATGTATCTACAGGTATGTAAGTACGTAGGTACTCAAACAAGAGTTTTTCTAAAATATGCAGTACATTATTTAGATTTTTCCAGTTAAATTCTAATAAGATAAGACTTTTAAGAAAGAGATCAAATAAATTTGTTAGACAACAGACATATAGATATTTTGTAGACTAATATAAAATAATATATTTTAGTGCAAATCATTAAACGATCTCGGGATCGTGTGGGTATTTTATGTGAGGTGAGTGCGCCGGCGCCGTACCGCATTAAGTGAATCCTCCAAGTGCAAGCTCAAGCAACTGCGATAAAGCGCGCGCCGGGTTAGTGCTAAGTGAGCCACGATAACCGCTGACGAGTCAATCGCGCCTACGCAAACTGTCGCCGCTGTCTTTAACGATCTTCCTCTGTTGTCCTTACAGTATTATTATTTCAAACAATACCTATGAGTATGTATTATTTATTAGTTTATCTTTAGTGTTTAGATAATTGAAACTTAAAATACGGCAGATATTATTAACTAAAAGCTAAAGTCAATATTTTTAAAACTTTTTTGTTGTAGATTTATTCGATGTATTACAGACTCCATGAATTTATACTTATTAAGTAAGTAATATATTAAATCTATTAATTTAAAAATGTATGTATTCCTATGTCTTTTCTATGTGTATAATATGTAAGTTTATCTTCGTCTTCATACTTAGAATAGGTATACATGCGTGTAGGTGTAAATGCTCTGAAGAGATAGGCGGGCGTTTAAGTAAATGTATAGTTTAATGTTCTAAATAGCCCTGGGTTTAGAATTATTATAAGTTAAAACTAGGCAATTTAATTTTTACTGAAGTTACTTGAAAGTTAGTCCTTTCAGTTTACTCCTTACATTAGACAAAATTGTTTAAACATCTTTATTGTAAAATTTAATACCTATTGCTATGAAGCCTTTTTTAAAAGATATTTTGTAACCTATATAATTTAGCATTTATTTGGAATTATTGACATAGTTATTTTTTTAGAAATGTATGAAGGTTCTTGCTTACACGTATTGCGAAATTACAGTCAGAACATTTGCTTCATTAATTTTTCTCTCAATGAATCACGATTTTCCATATAGTAAAGTGCACGAACGGCACGTTTTTGTAATGTAAAGATATGTACTTTATACATATATTTGCTGCTTTACTGCTTAGTAATATTCCGTATGTATTTAAACCAAGAAAATTATAGGAACTAAAGTAGACATTGGCAAATACCTAATTGAACACAACACAATTACGTTATTAATAATTATTGTAATATATATAAAGTAGTCTACTAAAATATGCAAAATACGTTCTCTATTTAAATTTATTAAAATTAAAATTATACGTAAAATTATTTTAGGATATTGATTTCAGTCGAGTTGATTCGACTTATTCTAACAAATTAATTACTACTTCGAATTATATAGTATCTATGATCTCAACTTAAATTGACTATAAAAATCAAAGTCTGTTGCTGCTTGATTGATTTAAAGTAACAAAATTCGATTAGGTTTAGCAATAAAATTGGCTATGATACAGAAACATAGAATCAAGTAAAGCCAATGTTTCTAAAAAGGAAAAACCTTTATATACTACAAAGGGCACATCTCTTCCTCTTTTTCATTAAATGAGACTATAAGAAATCTTGTCAATATTAAATAAGATATATAACTTGACACAGTTTAAGTTGTTATATTTAAACTGTGTCAAGTTATCAACTGTTTCTCAAAACAAACCTTATACTACCCGTAGTCTTATGCGTGTGTAAATTGCGGCATAGCATTAAATAATTAACTGCCTTTTAAGTAATTCTTTTACTCCTGTTTTGTACACACAAAAGAGAAATGCAAGCGCGATTATATGTTAAATGCGCTTATGGAGGCAAAGGAGCCGCCGGTCAGATTTAGGAGCCCTAATGCAGTGTCTATGTACCACGGATAGCTCGCGGCTATCGCTGCGCACGCCGACGCAGCGTCGCCGAGACTTGCATGCCGACTACACTATCACACGTTCTGCCTAATTTTATAAAATTACTAGAATTTTATATGCAAATTAATTTTTAACGAATTAAAAGTATTTTTATTAGTCTATTTTCAAACCAAATTGGTCTCTATGCGGAAAGTATAAATTAAATACGATTATACTACTATTATTACATGTATTTGTTCAAATTGTTGTGTCGAGTTGCTTATTAGCAGCAACAGTAGTGAAGTCAAGAATGTCAAGAAGCTACCTTCTTTTAATGTTACAGTAGGATATAGATATGAAGTATTTTCAATAATAGGACTACTCAAACCTAACAGTCTACCTACGTATTAATTATTGATTTTGTAAATAAACATATATAATTTAGCATTGGATGGAGTTATTAGATATCAATTAAATGATAGCAGTAACTTTGTGAACTTAAGTAAGCTTTACCTTTTCATAATTTATCAACAATGCGTGAGTATTGTGTCAGTGAATATTCGACAGATGTTAGATGTAACCTCACAATGTTAAGACAATTGAAATTAAAGAGACTCTCTAATAAGAGGTTGTTTCATAACACAGTGATAGGCAAGGTATTGTGCTGAAGTAGGTACCAACGTATTCATTAATTGAAAACTGACTGTAACTTGGAGTGTGGCAATAACGCCAGCAAGCCACAATTATCTCGTCATAGTTGTGAGATCAATCAAACCATATCACGTTATGTAGGTCATTAATTACTGTAAACAGTAATTACTTTAATTATTCTTGACAGTCTTTGTGCAAAGTCGTGAAGCTGCACGCTGGCGAAGGTCAGTTGGGACTACAAAGACGCCTCGAGAAAGGCACTCGTTTAACTCCTGTCAAAATGCACCCTGTGAATAGAGCTTTGTTTAGTAACTCTAATAATGTTTAACAACAATTCTATATATACTAAGAAATAATTTAAATTCGATTTTGGATTTTCTGACAATATTGGTCTTTTTTCATTATAACTAACTACTAAAACAACAGGTGTGCCTTCGTCGCTACTACGCTTCTACAATGTTGTGCATTGTTCTTTTTTATTGACCGATTCTGCTTTAGCGAATAACCGTTAAATGCTACCTACCTTTATATTGATTATAGTATTTAGAGGGATACCGTAACAAGGTGTGAATTTTTATACTTTTTTATACGTGTAACCTGTGGTAAAAAATTACATTAACGAGCTAGGAGAAAATATGTACTTTATTATGCTTATAATAAAAACGTAAATAGAGTTAAAAAATAATAGGTAAGTACCAAAAACTTAACATATTTATGATACAGATACATGCGAAATATTTTTTTTTTCTATTCATCTGTATAATATTTTCTTTGGTCTGGGTTATTATAAAGTTGAGTTGAATTGTTGAGATCATCAGAGACTTGGAGTTGTTATGTACGAAT